TCACTTATCAGCTAAATTGGATTGCCTTGTCCACGCTATTCCAAATGCGTGCTGTGACAGAACCATCGCAACATCAAGTGAGGCTGAGGGACAGATTAGACATCTCCCGTAGAGCAAAGAGCTTCCCCTGCAGATCTCACCCATCAAACCTCAAGCATACAATTCAGATGTCAAGAAGGTTGCGGCACAGGGAGCAATAAGAAGTGGCAATCACGACGCAGATGGGAGCTGAGAGCGGGCTCTTGGAGTATCATGGCCACTGGACCTTTCACCTGCCTATAATTAAAATGAAAGGGATTGGGCTCTCATACCACCAAAGGGGTTACCTTCTCATCAGAGTTACAGGGGATTAAACAGAAAGTGTGCATTTTCTCAAAGCTTTAAAAAGCAAAACTGGTGAAAAAGGAGAAGGACAAACATGCTTGTAATAGTCAGATACTGTGGCGAAAACCAACTGGTGCCTGGAGTCTTTTATCTATTGGTAAAAGAAAGAACCGAGTCCAGCAGCTGCATTGGACCAAATGTTAGATTGAAGGTCAAACTGTTAGAGTGTAACAGAGAGAGACAAAATGCAGTAGAAAGGGAGAGAAAAGCAAAACATAGTGTGGGGGAGAGAAATCATTTAGATAAGGATGTTATGTAATTGTTTCATAACACATTCAGTGATGATGTTCTTGACCAGGCTAATTGCTACATTAAAAGCCCAAGTCAAATGTGAAACTTGAGCTCTGATTTACTTCAAGGTTATCCCACCCAGATAGCCTTCCAAATCACTGCGCTAATGAGCAAGCCTGTTTGAAGCCCTGCGATGTGCCCTTTGTGTCATTTGGGATGTTCAGCTTGTGATTGAGTTGTCTTTATTTTCCTCTAGTATACTTCACAGAGTTGAAACAAAAGGGTTGAAAGCAAAGCACAGCTGTCATTTTGATTAGAGGCCACGTCTCTTTCTTTTAGGTATTAAAAAAAAAAGCAACACATAAAGCAGCAAAAGACACAGAAATAGCTCTGTGTCTTCTTTTTTAATCATCAAATTTGGTAAAGGCAGAAGAAGTATAAATAAATTAGACTGTGCATTGTAGTGGTCACTCCTGTGGTTGACAGCCGACCTGCTCAGGGACCACCATGCATTGGCTCATAGCAGTTCCAGTTGAATTAAACTTAACAAGTTTTGACAATATGTCCATCCAGCTGACTACTCATTGCAGAAAAAATAAACGGACATGTCTTGGAATTCATAAAATATATATTTCTACAGTATACCATGTTTTATAGATGCTATAAGGCTGGCGATATTTGTCAGAGTTTCAGCAGATGAAGCGAGGAATGATATAATCTTGCCTGTGTAGTCTAAATTCAGATTATAAAGTATAGCTAGATAAGATACAGTTTATTCCTCTCTGGCCTAGATCATAAAGACATCGGGGAGCCACACCGCTGTGCAGGCTGACATGTTCCTTTACCATCATAAACATGGGCACTGAGCCCATATTAATCTGCCTTGATAAATAGTTCCCAACAAATGCCCTATAAACTCTTGTTTGAGCAACACTTAAATAGAATGAATGTCAATTTTACTGAGATGAAAATGAGTTTACATCTTCAGTGGGAAACGATAAGCACGGAGAGGGTAGGGAGTTAGGCAAGCAATGCAAGATGAACAAATTTATGTTTTTTGCTTTTCTGGATGTAGGCATACAGAAGCACAAGCATAGATAGCAAGATGATTCTATGTTGTAATGTTCAAATTTGCTGCATTTTGGTGCTAATTGATATTTAAAACCAGTGGATGTTGCAGCACCTCAGACCAAAACCTAAAGATGCATTTGCTACACCTTCCTTCTCCCTTCATGTTTCATTTACAACCAGAAAGGTTGTGTACGTGAAAATCTTAGTTTTATTAAGATTATGAACATATATATATTTTTAAAAAAGATACTTGGGATAAGAAAAATCCAATTAAGTTCTTTTTTTGTCAATGAACACACAATGCAGTACATTTTATCCATTTTATTGAAACACAGGTAAACACATAGGTAAAGCCGAACTAAAGGCACATTGCTTGAGATAGGTTGGTGAGTGTGTACATTACAGGGCTGCTCTCCAGGATGATCCCCACTCTTGAAGGGTTTAGTTGTGGTGATGCTGGGCTTGCAGCACCGTTGTCCTCATAGCAGAAGATTCCCACGGAATGTCCACAGAGTCTGCCTCATTAAGATTCGAGAAACAAGACAAAACGAGGATATTCAGGTTAAAAGCAATTTGTCTACAATCAGCTGTATGGCCTTCTTTGATATTATATTCTTTTCTAATTCACTGTGGTTCTATTTTAGGTAATGTTGTGTAAACAAGCTGTTGGAGCCATTTTTGTGTGTGTTCATGCAGGTGTCTGTTGAGGTGTAGAGCTCATGTTATGACAGTTGGTGGTTTATTGGACAATGTGATATGTGAATGGTATAAATAAAGGAAAGGTTAACTACTCCTCCTCAGGTGTGCTGCTGACTGGGGAGAAGCAGACAGTTTTTGACCAGAGTTTTAGTGGCTGAAATTTGAACCTTTTAGTTTATTTTGCATATGAGTACTAGTTATTGGGACAAGTGTGTGCAGATCAATAAAGGCGATATTGGAAATACGCTGGAAATGTTTGGATTCCTTCAATGGAGCCTGCACAAACTACACCTGGACTGGAAGTTCCAGCAGCAGCCCCTCACTGGTTTAGGTTTTTTTTTGGTTTTCGTAGAAATCAAGTCACTATACAAGCCCTATGAAGGCAAGGAAAGGGCTCAGTTCTGGCATAAGTTCCATGCTTTAGCCTATAATGAAAAGCTGTGCTCTCTTCTCACAGGTGGCAGGGCAGTATTTGCATTTCCAAGACATTATGTTGAGGCTTTAACAAAAATAGTGGGCTAATGTCAAAAATAGGCATTTTCAAAACGACGTTGAAATAATATGAATTCTATCCTACTGTTGCAAACTGATTGAATTTCCCTTCTGGGATGAATAAAGTATTTTTCATTTCATTTCATTCATTTCAAATTTGTACATAGAGAACACACAAGTAGAGAGCTACTTTATAAACACAATACTGCAATTATCAAATGCTTACTATTCATCTAAGTCAACCTCAAATTTACGCACACTCACATACTAGAAAAATATCAGCAGGTTCTGATTAATCATACTTGAATGTAGAAAACAACTTCCTTGATTCAGACAGAAAATGGTATCCACTATACGGCAGACAAATGTCCTTAGAAAGGGTCCAAACTTGTGAAAAACTGAAAAATGCAGGCAGAATAGGTATTGTCCAAGGAGCGTGCAAAGTGTAAAGGCCTTAAATTGCTCTGTGAAAATGAGACAATGGCACAAACTTCTCTGTGTCCTCCAATGGTCAAGCCCAGACTTGTCCTGAGTTGTGAGCCAATCAGAACAGGACAGCAATTGTGGCCTGGTTTAAGTTTTTTTAAACTTACAAGAGTACACCCAATGATTGTCACAAACACTCTCCATATATTCATATTGTTTAAGTAATGCAACAAAACTAACTTTTTACAGTGGTATTTACTCAAATGTTGGATTAGAAAGAACTTCTGGGTTAACTGCTCACTAAAACAGAATAGAGAAGCTCAGTTTTGCATTCGAAATACAGTATACAACATAAATCAGTACATGATGTCCCTGAAGTGTCAAATGATTCTAAATTGCATCACCTCTCAATAATTACATTATTTCAAGCTGACAAGTAGAGTATACACGCTCACAAACAATCACCAATAAATGCTTTAGATCGACTACAGCGAGAATAAAGGTCCCAAAGCAAAAATTCAATGCAACATAACTGCATAGACCTGTGATCACGGACACACAAGTTTGAACATCTGAGACCACTGAAACAAAACTGAATACACCTGTGAGTTACAAGTAGCCTAATTGTAAAAGTGTGCTAATGCAATGAACACCAGAACTTTCTTAACTCAATGAAAAGTTGAACTGAACTTTCTGTCAGATTTCACAAATACGTAGAAGGAAATACGAAGACAGACTAAAAATCAGTGAAACACTGCTGCAGCAGTAATCAGGAGGTATAGATTGAGCCTTAGTACCACTAATCAGAACCACAGTGGGCGTCCTCCTAAAATGACCCCTACTTTCACAATCTAGCTCTAAAAAAAAACAGACAAGCAGGTCCTTCAGACCTGGCACAAAGGTAATCATTGGAAATCAGACTTTCTGTGACAGCTTAGACAGTGTGGAGGACGTTGCAAAAACTCAGCTTCTGTTGATGAAGTCCATGAAATATATGCTTGCTTGCTGCTCAGAACAAAACTGCAAGATGAAACTCGGCCAAAGAGCATTAAAAGAAGCCGGATGACTGGAGCACATTTCTTGGTCAGATGAGACCAAGGTGGATTTGTTCAGCTCAGATGGGGTACAGCATGTTTGGCGTGAACTTGGCCAGGACTGCCACAGTGAATGCGTAGACCCGGCAGTGAAGCACTCAGGTGGGAGTGTGAAGATATGAGGCGGCGTGAGTGCTAAAGGTGTTGGGGAGATGAGAGTCATAGATGGCAACATGAATATCTGTGGAAATACTAGCTGACTAGATGACTCACTGTCTCGAGAGGCTTGGCAAAATATTCCAACATGATAATGATCCAAAGCACACTGCCAAAACCACACTAGAGTTTCCAAAGAAGTAAAAAGTAAAAACTATTACTTGAGTAAGTGTGTCATCTGACTTGAATCCAATAGAAGAGTAGCTGAAATAAGTAGCTTTTGAGGAATAGCAGAACATCTCTCCAGAAATTTGCTATCACTCATGCTGAGGAGGACTGATTCTGTCATCAAAAATAAAGGTTTTGAGTCCAAATCAAGGTATTACTTGCTATTTCACAAAGGACAACAAGTGGGTTAAGTGTGTTTCATGCACAGATGTAAGCCTGTGAGAATGCCAGGGAAACAAGTGTTAGTTTTTGAGTCATCTCTCTCCATGTGCAATCTAGAGGAGCTCAGTACAAAGGTTATCTGGCGTGTCCTACAGAGAGTGCATCAGGGCCAGCTGCTGGCGGAGGTGCTGCGGTGCGGCCGGCTGTTGCTGTGTGATGGCTTCACTCAGCGGGGATGAGTAATGGTAAACAAGAGTGGCTTTGCGGTCACGCCTCTGGGGGAACCGGTGCCAGGATGGAGCCACAGTAAAATGTCAGCGCATCAGTGCCGTCACGGAGTTCATCAGCTGGTTTTTTTCCGGATTTCTAAAAAGACGGTGAAGTCTCTCTCGGTTTGAGTCTGTCGAGCTTCAGAGGGAAATGCCATCAAAGCGCACATTCAGGTTGCTTGTGAGGATGAAAATGCTCCAAATATGGGTACAGTTGATGTGACTGACTTTCATCTGCTTAATCATCAAAGTTTGATGTGAAGTGATACCTTTATAGACAAACTGATAGATGGTAAGAAAGAAACTAGGAGCTCTCATCTCAGCGGATGAAACACAAGCAAAGACAGCTTTGGAAGCCACGAAGTGATCAAGCATCAGGATATACATACCCTCATCTCACTCCTTTTTCTTACTACTGCCATCTGCTTTTCAACACATCAAAACTAACAACATACCATACCAGCCAACTCTATCGCTACTATCCCATTTTTAGATCCACCTCCGCACAAAAGCAAAAAATAAATAAAAAAAGATCCACATCCCACCTCCACCAGCAAGGCCAACTTCTTTCTTGGAGCCCACTCAGTCTCTGTGGCTGACATGAGCCAATTACAGCCGTCTGGTTCCAGGACAATCATCTAACATGCTTTGCTCCTGTTGTTTTTTGTTGGGTTTTTTTGCTCATTTAATGAAATATTGAAGTACTGTGGTAATAGTGTGGTATCTCTCCTACACTGTCTGCACAAAAACACCCATATGAAGTCTTGAACCATGCAATAATAGCTTAATTGTTTTTCAAAAATAAAGTCATAGGAGAAGAAACCAACAGTATAAGCTGGTTATAACAAGTCATAAAGGCTGTGAAGGGAAAAATTAAATCTGTGTAATTGAACACCCGGTGTGTACCGACAGCTGTGTACTGCAGTCAAGTGTGACCATTCCCATAATTCGGGGACTGCGTCTGCTGCAACATTCAAGATAATAGGGTCTTGTGAAATGTAAATTTCTCTTGTTTTAAAATGGTCCAGTGAAATCAAACCTCCCTTCAGTTCAAACATCTCTGCTGGACACTTTTTCTTTTTTTAATTTAGCTCCTCATTATGAGTTAAAGCCTCCAGCATTCACTGCCCCCTGTGTCTGGAGGATGCTGGAGTGCTGTTTGGGAGCGAACATCGTTAACTCTATTAATTCTGTGTCGAAGCTTGCTGGTGAGGAGTCAAAACAAAGATGAAAAGACACTTTTTTTTTTTTTAGCTTTTGTTGCAGCTCTGTGTGACTGTGCTAGCAGAAGATACAGTAACAGAAGGAACTGAACTGTACCCCAGGAGGTGAAAGAACAAAAGTCTAAACTAGGGGAGGCAATGCTCAAGGCAAAAAAAGCAATAAAGCAATTGTTCCAAAATGTTCCATTTGTATGCAATACAAGTGGAACAGAGCAGAAAATGAATAACTAATAACTGTAATAGCTATCTATTAGCTATTTCTTTTTTATGCTGGTATGCCTAAATTGGAACCTTGGTAATTTTATTGAGTGCACCTACTCTTTTCCTGCTTCTTCTGTGGACAGGAGCACAGACACTGTAGCAGTGTTCAGGCTCACAGCAGCTTTATTTGGATTCACACTGTCCTACGATGAGTTTGGGCTCCTTCACATAAGGATTAGTGATCTCCTGCGTCATCTCATCTCTGCAGGGTGTTGATATCCGAGGCACTACAGAAGTGACAGCAAACAAAATGTGGCCTGGAATTAAAATGATTTTGAAGGTGACCGTTTTAGGTATTCGCACAGTTGCACTTATTGTGTGTGTGAATTTCAAGATGCCAAAAACAAAGTCACGGGAAGTGTCAGGAGTAAGACAAAGCTGCTGTGTTTTATTGTTTTATTAGTAGTCTTCATGTAGCTGAAGGTACTATCACCAGCAGAAAGACGTGAGCAATCAATGACGTAGCATCAATGACTAAAGAATCGAACACAATAAGCTACGTGAAAGAATACTGATTCTGCAGTCTTTCGACATCTACAGCTAGACATTATTATGCACAATTGCAACTGCAAACATTCAGCCCTCTCTTACCTTCAAAGATACATGGTGATGTGTGTAGAATTGGATAGAAATATACAACAAGTCTCAGTGGAAAAAGAAAGAATATTTGTTGAAATGTGTGAGCAATTGTGATGGCATCTTAAAATAATTTTGAGTCTGAATAAAAATCACAGTTATCTTGAGAAATCCCTGTCTGTAGAACTATCATTCAAACCACAACTCCCGTACTTGATGGAGGGTTCTTCCGCCTTGACAACCAATGGTAAGTGATTTAAGTAAGTGCTGATAAGTGTCTGACACCTCTCTCCTGGAATCTGTAACCCTTCTTCTTGTGCGAAAGCTTCCAGCTCATGAATGGCTTCTGTGCAGCTTTCTTTAAATCCTACCAAAGATTTTCTGTGAAGACTAAAAAGGCTTGTTCTAGGAATGGCTTCCTACGCAGCTTTGGCAGGCTTGGAAGTGGCTTGAGATCACGGTCTTGCTGGAGGGAAAAGTTATCACCAAGGTCAAGGTCACTGCAGTCGGTCACATGGTCAAGACTGCCAATTCTTGCAGCTTACGTCATCACCGACCCATCTCCATCCTTGACCATGGAGTCCTAAGTCTTGCCTTTCTTGTGCCAGACTGATTCATATGGTCAAACAGCTCCTGTTTTGTTCCATCACTCTATTGAAAAGTGTCCCAGAACTCTCCAGTCTTATTAAAATTCCCTCTGGTACATTTCAGTTCACCTTTCTTGTACTTCTTAGACAAGAGTTGTGCGTGTAATCTGGCCAAGAGGTCCTTAGTTGTTAGCTGACTTTTTTAAAGGTTGGCACTGCCACATTTATCCCATCCTTCATCCTGTCATTCTGTAAGTCTTTCAGAGTAACACTGGTTTTTCTTCATTGTCCTGGTGAGATGTCTAAAGCATCTTGACGAAATTTTGCACTTTCCTCCACTGCCAGGCAGGTTTGCTACTTCTGTCTGTTCAGTGCTCCTAAAGGTGTCTATAGGAATGTTTAAGATCTTGGATATATACTCATTGCATTTTTGTTGCAGACATTATCTCCTCTCTCAGGTTTTATGACAGCTTCCTAAGGCAACCAATAGTTTCCTCAACCCTGTGCAGTGACTGATGGGGCTTTTGAGAGCAGACAGCAGATGCATGGGCTCTATTCATACTGCAACAGGTACATGTCAGTCTGCTATACAGACAGTCGCATTGCTCCTCATATTTAACACAGAAAAGCACAAAGAGCTCCAACAGATGTTTCTCAAAGGGAAGATTGTGACTTTGCACTATGTACGTGATACAGCTGCTAGTTACAGACTGGGCTGGAGCACCGTGTCAATGATTATTCCTGAGATGTGCCGAGCACATAACATAGGACTTTTGGAGAATTCCCACTGTGTTTTTGCTCTGTCAATGGAAATCATAAATCAAAGCAAGTACTTCAATTATTTAATGATGAAATATAATCAGAATCAGAAGTACTTTATTGATCCTCAAGTTGAAATGGTGTGGATAACAAGCCCCAAGCATTTGTTTGGAGCACAATTTATTTATTTTTTTCTGGTACACTGCACGCAGACATCTGCAGAGGGGTTCACACGGACCCTCATGGACTTGATATGAGACTTTGAACACATCACAGCCTGAGCACATTAAGGGTATATATTGACTTCTCAATGGATTTCTCATTTTCTGAACCCAGCTTTAGGTCATACACTAGAGGAGTGTTTTAAAATCAGCAATATAATAACTGTAAGGTGGCACATTTAAAACAACATTCCGATATTTTAAAACAGTCTACTACTATTTTATTGTACTTTGCACTTTTATAATACTTTGTTGTAAATACCAACACATTTTTCTACATTCTTTTTGTAAAGACCAGCATTTTGGACAATTTATTGCTGCTTGTTCGATGACATGATTTGCACGTTAACTGCACATTCTCTTATACATTGTTTCCTTATCTTTCTTGTATGTAACCTATGTGAGCTACTGGATACCTTGAATAGCTTTAAGGCGATGGATAAAGTATCTATCTATCTAGCCACATCATTTATTTTCTTTGCTAATCTGCTGCATCACTCAACAGATTAAAACTTCAAGCTCCAGAGGATGGAATATGTGCAACTGTGATAGTATGAGCAACATAAGCCACTTCCTTGGCACAAATTAATGCTGCTATGTGTATTTGAAATACTTGATCAGTATTGCAAAGGCCACCTAGCAAATCAAACTAAGCAGTGTTTGCATCATGACAGTTGCAATGCTATCAGTTCAAGGATTCAAGGATTCAAGGAACTTTATTTGTCATGTCAGTTCACATTGACATGCCATGGCATGGAATAAGTACTCAGGTTCCAGTTTTTAAAGAAAAAGCCTGATAAATAATAACTACAATAAACAAGTGATAAGTACAAAAAACCCCCAGAAACAATAAAAACAAGAGCAGAATATAAGTAAAAATAAGCACTAAGCATATGTTTAGCAGCAAGGTAGACTGTAACATAATATTGCACTTAGGTGTTTAAAATATTGCACAGTTTTGGATAGAAGTGTTTAATAATGCAGTTGGTGCAGTCTGTGTGCGATGGTGGTGTGAGGCTACAGATCACCCACACTGCATATTCCAGTATTGCAGTAAACTATGTTGTGGGAATGTAGGCTCCATCAGCTCACTATATGCAAACAGAGCTGTAGCTTTATACTGATCATTGAACTGGGCCCACGCCTCCATCTAGTGGTGACGACGTAGATTTACATCTCTCACGAACAAGCTATAAACATCAATTATTAGCATGATCATATAACACTAAATCTAAAAAGGATTACAGTAGATATAAACTGTAAGTGCACATTGGAGAATGTAATATTGCAAAACTCATTCAATAGTTTTAACTATTTTTAC